GGATGAAGCCCACCACTGCCAGTGTAGGCTGGCTCAGTGCAGGAGGGAACACATGCTTGTAGAGACGCAGCCTGTAACCAGATTTAGCCTGCAGAGTTGAGGGCAGGAAGGGGAAGCTGTAGTTGTAGCCTGTGGAAAACACCACTACATCCACCTGTATGACACACACATAAAACTTAAAGATTAGAAGACTATAGACATTTAATTACTTTGTGGTTATTATTATTTTTTTGACCTTTGACCTCCAAATTGTAATCAGTTCATCTTTGAGTCCAAGTGGATGTTTGTGCTAAATTTGAAGAAATTCGTTCCTACAATATCACGTGAACGTAACCTTTAACCACCAAAATCTAATCAGCTGCCATATCACAGTACTGAATGCAACAATACATTTGTTGACATGATATGACAGTCTAAGAATTGTTCTAATACAAACCTTGTCTATGATGCTCCCATCGACAAAAACCACACTGGAACCACAGAACTCCTTCACATTTGGTTTCACCTGAACACGACCTGAGATGATCCGAGCCGGCAGGTCGTCATTCACAACTGGCATCTGTGTATAAAAACTGCCAAAAAGACATTTTTATTAATCACTTTTTATTACCAATGAGTGAATGGGTTACTTGAAAAACTTGAAAAATGAGACCTTCCTCAACTTTCTCAGTTACTGTGGACAGATTTTTATGCGTTTCTGTGTGGGGATGAGGGTTGTATTTTCTGTGAAAACACACGTCTTCTCTCTCTGCTTCACTACAGTGTCAACAGTGTGCAAATGTTAACTTGTAAATGGATTCCAATAACATCAACAAAGGACCAGCATCCACCTCAACACCAAAGTCAAAATCACAAAGCGTGTGAAATATATTGTGATATTGCCAATTGCAGGTTACTTTGTTGGCTTGTGTTGTGGGGCGGCTGGTGCCAGATATCATTATTCACTGTGACTGGGTTGCAGTGGGCTGGCTAACATTTGTTTGCTTGCTCACTAATGCGATTGCTGAGCAGATATGTTAGTTGGCTAATGATAACTTGCAAAATTAATTCCCCAGCTAACGTAGGCCATGATACTAACAAATGTATTATTACAGACAGTGATAATTTTAGCCTAGAACGCAAAAAATCTAAAACAAAGGTAAGGTAAAGGTACAAAGCAAACTATAGTGAAGAGCAATGTACGGCAGGATCACCCAACTAACTCCAATTTAGCTCAAGTAAAGCTGGGGTTGGCTGTACAGTGTGTGGCATTGGTGGCTTCGTGTTGTTGGCTCATGGGGTGATTTGTTAAAATGGCGAGAATAGTTGTTAGCATGGACTCAAATAAAATACAGGAACATTGCAGATAGTAACGTTATTCTAAATATATACATTTTCCAGCACTCAGTCCAGTGAATGTCACTTTTGGCTAATGCCCAGGATGCTCGCTTGCGGCGTGCATACAGACTGTGTACGGAGCACAAGCAACAGGACGCTGACTGCAGTTCACTTAACAGCCACTGGTGGCACTATTAACAACCATTTTCTGAAAATCACACAGTAGAATAAAGATGTTCATCTAAAGTATCTTGTTACCCATGATTTGGTTTCAGGCCATATAGTTTGTGGTCAAATGCTTTGTTCAGCTTCTTCTCCACCCTTTTACTGATCCATGAGGGGAAGAGGTTCTCCAGTACCGTATGCATTCGAGAAGTCCCAATAAGGTCACCTGGGAGCCCCCCCTCTCCTACACGGCCGACAACCCACGCTCCGCTCCTGGCACTGAGGTACACCTGCAGGTCAGGTCAGAACATAGAGCAAGGTTAAGATTCATGTTTATATTCTTAGGATACATTTTTTTAAATAATACAGTCAACAGCAACACTGCTTTATTAACAAAACCCTCAAAAGAAGAGAAAAGTAGTTGTGTACCTTCTCAGCAACTCTACTGATATCCACAGCAATATCACCTCCAGAGTTCCCAATTCCAATGACTACCACTCTTTTCCCATGCAGACCCTCAGCGTTGCGGTAATCCCAGCTGTGGAAATATCTGCCTTCAAAGCTCTCAATACCTAAGGTGGGAAATCAAAGAACAATCAATATGCTGAGGCTGCAAAACAGTTGAACTAAGCAAAAGTTTTGGAAGTAACAGTGAGAGTTAATGAAAATGTAGTGGTACCTGGGAAGTCTGTGAGTGGCAGGTGCGGCTGGGTAAAGTGTCCGGTACAAACTATCACTGCATCAAAAACAAGTGTCTCCCTCTGACCCTCTCTCCTCTCTGTCTCCACCTCCCACTGGCCTGTCGCATCAAAATCCAGTCTCTGCCTCACACTGACCACAGTAGTCTGACACACACACACACACACACACACACAATACCCTCTATTCATATTGGCATTTATCTTTGTTTGTGTTACTCATGTTAACAAACATTTAAAAACACTAAGAATCTGAGAATATTAATGAAGTAGCTGTGACCATTTTGTTTATATTTGTGTGACATTGCCCTTAAAAGCAACCAATAACACAGTTCAGTATCAGTACATTCACAACCACTTTGCTCAGTTCCAGAGTGGAATATTACTGAAAAGCATGGGAGGAGTTATGGTGGGATGTACCAATAATCTGCTCCTTATCTAGGTTATCACTAGCGTCACCAGAGGCCTCGAGTAGCTACAGGGATGTCAGACTGTATCTAATCTGCATAATGGACAAAAAGAATAACATTTAAACAGCTGAAATGTAAAACATATTATATTACACTGTATTACAGGTCCAGTATGTAAAATTTAGAAGGCTCTAATGGCAGAAATTGAATATAATATTCATAGGAATGTTTTCATTAGTGTAAAATCACCTGAATATAGGAATGAGTGTGTTTTTGTTACCTTAGAATGAGCCATTTTTTATTTACTGATGCATTGTGTCGCTTACTGTATCTACAGTACTAGAATACACAAACCAAAAACCGGCTGCAGATAAGACCCTTTTCTGTGTCATGGCCACCGTAGTTCCTCTTATACAGTTCACAGCCTGTTCTCATTGCCAGGTTGACACACACACACACAGGTTGGGAGTATGCTTTACTAAAACTTTTACTAAAGTAAAACTACCTGAGCGTTATCTTAAGAATGGATCCAGTGCTACTAACCTGGAAATGTATGTGTTGCATCAGTTTGAAGGCCTGGCCGTAGAGACGCAGATATTGCAGCACCTCAGAGTGGTGCATGTTGTTGGGGAGCTCAGCTGGTGGAGGGAAGTCACTGAAGGCCATTATCTCCTTGGAGCTGTTGATGATCACTGACCGATAGATGTTGGCACGTCCAGGCTCGGGCTTGTCCTAGAGAAGGACAATATAAAGACAGATAGTGACATTTTTCACTATTTCACTATCTCACAGTACTTTGTCTGCAATTAAAGTGTCACAACAAATATATGATAATTGTTAAAACGGCTAACTTTCATTTTTCACATTTCAATTTCTTTCACATGTATCTGTTTTCCCATTTCTGCCAATAGATCCTCCTAAATATTACACATTGGACCCTTAAGAGACAACTCAGTTGAACTGTGAAGGACATCTCTGGTTTTTGGCATAATCTTCCAGCAATATGAGATCCATAGAGGGTTTTTTTTTTTTTTTTACATTAATATTCCTACACATTTTAATATTTAAAACATAATTTAAGAATCAAATGAATATGATTGCAGTGCATAGTGATGACAATATGAGTTTTTAATGGAAAAGTGTTTATGTTAAAGCATTGCCGCTACCTTAAATCTCCATAGACCCCCAATGTCATGGCTGCTCTCAAAGCAGGTGGGCTCCAGACCTTCATCCAAACAGGCCTTTATGCTGGTCAGTCCAGAAATCCCTGCACCGATTACTGCCACCTTCTGAACCATGTTGGAGACAAAGTACGACTGACAGCAGTGGGGACTGATCTGATAAGGTAGAATAGACCTTTTTACTGGAGAAATTTTACACAGCTGTTACATATACCCCCAATGCTGATGTGGCCCTCCCAATCACCTTGCTCAATTACAGAGTGGAATATTACTGAAAAGCATGGGAGGAGTTATGGTGGGATGTACCTATAATCTGCTCGTTATTTAGGTTATCACCAGGGTCACCAGAGGCATCAGGTAGCCACAGGGATGCCAAATTGTATATACTGAATAGTGTGCATTTATTGAACACAAAACACACACACACACACGCCTCCTCATGGATCAGTAAGGAATTGGGTGACATTCCCCTTAAAAGCAACCAGAAACACAGGCTGTATAAGTACATTCAAATATCATTTAAGAAAAAGTACAGGACTCACAATTCACAAGTCTTCTTGCGTCAAAGCAGTATTGTGTGACCTGTTAGGCATGCCTATATGCTTTACTCCATATTGAAAAACTACCTGAGCTTATTGCTTCCCCAAACTATCCTAAAGGGAACTAACCTCAAAGTGTGTGTTCTGCAGCATTTGCAGGCCTGAGCATAGAGGCATAGAGGCAGACTGATCTGATAATGTTGGAGAGACCTGTCGTGCAGAAAAGATCTTACACAGCTGTAAAATTTACCTCCAGTTGCTGATGTAGCTCTCTCAACCACCTTGCTCAATTACACAGTGGAATATTACTGAAAAGCATGGGAGGAGCTACGGTGGGATGTACCAACAATCTGCTCCTTATCTAGGTTACTAGTGTCATCAGGGGCCCCGGGTAGCTACAGGGATGCCAAACTACCTAATCTGCATAATGGACACAGTCAAAATATTTGCTCCTTTATATTGCACAGACCCATATATTCACTTATTATACCATAATGTGTACAACAGTGTTCAGTTAGTTGCAATCTGCAACTTCACCACTAGATGCCACTAAATCCTACACACTGGTCCTCTAACAATGCATAGACCCATATATTTGCTTTAGCTATAACATAGTGTGTGTTTTCTCCTGATCTCGTTTGTTGAACTCTTTCAACTCTCTCTCTTGTTGAACTCTCTCAACTCTCTCTCTTGTTTGATGAACAGAAGAGTGAGAGTGGAATATTACTGAACTCTCAACTCTTAGTCCCACCCCTACACACCTGTGAGTGAACCAAAATAATTGTGCCAGCCAAACCCTGGACATTTGCTGCACATCATAGATGCACATGTCTCTCCACGTTGTTATCACATGAACATCAATGAACAAACTACATGGCATTTTATTTTTAACCCTTGATACTACTACTACTACCCTAACCCTAACCCTTGATACTACTGCACTTAACTAACCAGTCCTGCAGGCACAGTGGGAACTAGTACTTGGTTTCTTGTACTGTGAATACATTTCAAGTTGAAAACACACAAATCTTATTATGCAAATTAAATTTTCACATTTTCTGACATTTTCAGCAAAAAACACATCCATCCTCATTTTTTTAAATTTTAAAGGTGGGGCAAACAATTTTGGAGAAATCCAGTATCATGATATAGCAAACAACGGCACTGCAAGTAATATTACTAATGTTAGCTATGTTGTGGGTTACTGATATCACAACAACAGCTTAGCAAACTAGAAAGAAAGCTGAATGTCTGGTGCAAGTCATTTAAAGTTACCTGACACACAAAAATCCTGGTTGGAATAACAAGTTAGTTTTGTGTTGCTCATCCGATCCACTTTGTTTGTTTCCCTTTTACAGAGGCAGGATTGTAACAGACCCCAAATAAACTTGTCTATCCTCTTATGGGCTCTCTTATGTTTTTTTTCTTATCTTTCAGAAAAACGACTACTGCCTTGAATTACTGCACCTGTATTATTTAGGTATGAACTCTTCAATTAGCAGTAGCTATGTGACTATGAACTCAAACAGCTACTGTATGTCAAAATCTCTACTTTCTTAAGGTGTATAGGTTTCCCTAATTCATTATATCTAAAGATACATCTTGGTTGACGTGTGGTTGTAGAATGTCCTCTGAAGACACTGCCTCTTCCTCATTCACCTGGGGACTTCAGAATCTTGACTCATCTCATGCTCCTGCGTCCTCCTCCTGTTGTCTTATGTCCTCTGTTTGATCTCTATCCTCAGTAGTATCCTTTCCATCTTGGGGCTGGCTTCTGTCTTTCTGAATGAGCCTTTTAATCTGGTTCGTACTCTGGAATGTCGTGTTACTGTGGGCTTTAAGACCTGGGAATGCAGGTTAAGGTGAATGTTTTGACTCTGTCCAGGCACCCACACAGCATGTTCTTCCCCGCTTGAACTCTCAGTCTCCATGGGAAACCTGAGTCTTTTTGTGTGTTCTTTATATGCTCTGTCAATCACAAACTTAGCTAGCTGACAGTTTATTACTGTGTTAGCAGCAAGCAAGCAAAGGTTAGCAAGCTAAAACGTTAGCTTTGACTTAGCGTTGGACTCTTTTGACACTGTAGGGTGCTGAGAGAGAAAGCACTTGGGAGAGCACATAAACGTTACGTCCACGTCAGCATCTGTACATAAAGATCAGTCAACAGGCAACAGAGCATTCAGGAAGGTCTTATTTTTCAAGTTAGTTCACAACCCGTTCATGTATTGGAAAGAAAACCTGAATAATACATAAAATAAAAATAAATAATAAAAATAAAAATAATACATAAATGCTTCAGAATCTTATATATATTTTTATCTTAATAAAAGTACTGGAGAGATAATACTCTATCCACTAATGTTAATGTAATATTTAGTTCCAAATTTTAAACTATTTTTCATAGGACTCCAACTTGAGTATTTTAATTATGGATTAATTATGTTTTTTTTTCTCAATAATCAGTTGACTTGTTTGTAAAATTTCTGAAAATAGTTATAAATGCCACAGTTCCCCAGAGCTTAAAGGCACACCTTCACAATGCTGGTTTTGTCCAACAAATAATACAAACCTCAAAATTATCAAAAATAGATTGCAATTATTAAAACAGTTTAAGGGAAAGACAGAAAATCCTTGCATTGGAGTAACTGCCTAATATTGTGAAAAATGTTTGCAAATTAATTTTCACATTAATCAACTAACCATTTCAACTGTATTTTTTACCAACACTGTGGAAATGGTTAGTTGATCAACTTAATCTGTGAGATAAATGTAATGAAATATAAAGTACAATATTTCCCTCTGAATTGCAGTGGAGTAGAAGTAAAAAGTGTCTTCCAAGGAAGTACCTCAATTGAGTAAATGTGGGCTACATTAATTAAATTAACACAGAAACACATGATCTCACCCTTCACCAACCCACACAATAGCTACAATAAGTGTAAAATCACACCACCCTCAAACCTACTCTAATTGTACCTAACCAAGTGCAAACTATACCAACATGAACTTGGATCAGTCTTACCTTTCTGTTACTTGGAGGGATGAATAGTAGACTAAAACTCCACTCTTGAAATGTGTTTATCAGCAAGGTTTTAACATACAGACAGGGCAGAGGGCAGATTGATGATTGAGCCACTGTGGTTCCTCAAAACAAGATACACAGACTTTATGGTTTTCAAAAATACAAGAATTACTAGAAAATGCAATATAAACATCTTGTTTATATGGATGCAGAAGTAACAGGGTCTGACATAGAGGGTTTGAAGTGTGAAAATGATGTAAAAAATGATAAAACAGAGGATGAAGTGCAATCTCAATGTTATACAACTTTGGTAAAACTCAGCTTGAACTGAAAATATACATATTTGCTTTCATGCAGCAACAAACAGCATTTCATTTACAAGGACAATGGTCAGGATTAATCTGAAATACAGTCTCTGAATGTAATCAGGTCTTAATTTATACACCACCTTACATGATTAATTTAAACAAACTTAAAAAGACTTTTCTCCTATTATGTTTAACATAAGGTTCCTCCTTATCTTTAACATGAGAGAATAGTATACAGTTAGGAACAGATACTCTGCAGACCTTCAACCCAAGCACATGGATCTAACAGTTTACTAATCTAAGCCCTTGTTTTTTATCTTTTGTAACTTTGAAGCACTATGCGTGTCTTACTGCCATCTTATCACTCCAACCGTTCAGTGCATTTGGGCTTAGTGGAACTTGCAGCTTTGATAACAGTTTCTATATGTTAAAACCTCTTACCAATATATTTTGTTTTTTAAATGCACACTACAGCTTTCTTACATTAAGGAACAAGACAAAAAATATCCGTTACACATGAATAATGAGAAGAATCTCTCTCAGAGGCACCATTGTTTCAAGGTGTTGCTACGTGAATTTTTTTTAAATATTTCCCTGCACTAGTGAACCTTAAACAGACTTTTTGTCACGTACACTCCATGAACACTTCTGTTAAATTTATGATACCTTGGTAAGCAATTAGGCTAAGGTTCACTAGGTTAAAGGTTATATAGTCCAGCACTCTGAATAATCAAACATTAATTAAATATAATTAGGCTAGAATTAAATGTGCAATAAAGATATTTAAACATATGTATAATTTCCCCTCACAATCCCCACTTTTAATTATTCTTAAGTATTATTCTTACTGCAGTAGTGCTGTATGGCTCTGATTCATTTAAGCTGCATGCCATAATCCTCACCACAGTCATAATATGGGACAACCCAACACAGAATGGGGTAAAGGTCAGGGAGGTGCTCAATTATATCAAGTTGTATAGCATTAACAATGGCTTTAGTGCATGGCTTGCAGATGAGACCAAGCATACAGGTGATAGTAAAGACAACAATGAGCAGCAAGCCAATACCCACTAGTCAGTGTGTGTAAGAAGGATGCACAAACATATGATGAGCAGCCAAATAAGAGAGCATTAAGTATGGATCACTTGACATACACCACTCTGAGAGACCAGCAAAAGGTTTAATATACCTTACCTATCTACCTAGCTGGCTAGGATGGATCATGGATTGCATATGGACAGTGGAATTGGAGTTGGAACACCACAGCCTGCCACCCTAAAAAGATGCCACATG